TCTTTATGACTTGTCGAAATACAAAAGCACACTAATAGGGACAGGCATAGTAATTGGAACAGTTACCCTAGGTCAATTAAAATGTATTTCGAATGTATTGGATAAACGTATTTTTTTATTATACAATATATTATTATATTTTCAGATTTGGTTGTGAACGATCCTAATGGTAATGTTTGCTCATTCATAATCTCGAAAATTTTTCGGTACACATCATTGCCTTCGATACTCTAAATTTATTTCTGTACGTCAACTTTATCGGCTGGCGATAGGTAGATTCCATAACGATCTGCGACTGGTCTATACGATCTGTAACTGGCTTACGATCGTATAACGTAAACAATAGCACAGTAGACAGTAGTAAACAGATAGGAACTGATAGGATATATAGAAAAACTCTGCTACATAATTATAATAATCTGTGGTAATTAAAAATAATATTATATACACGCACAAATTATCACAGGTAAATATACATGAATGTATCGTACCGTGTGCAATTGTTTGTGCTGTCTTTCTCGGACCAAAGTCCGAAAATTCGATTTATAACAATTCCATAAGTCGAACGTCAACGACAGTATCAACGAAAAACAATGGCAATGCAATGCTTGAGATTATTTGGTGAGTATCAAGTATTTTCTATATAATACTACGGGAAAGATTATTATTTTAAATATTGATTACAGCAAATAATGTGCCTAGAAGTGCATACACTGTCAATGTCAGCCGACACATTACCTCGCATTCTATGCTGCCAGACACACATAAAATGTTGTACCAAACATGCAGGTATTTTATAATATTGTGTAGGCAATAAATTACACCTCTATCTACTTTGCATAGATATAATTAATTACCAAACAAAGTTTATCATCGCTATTAAAACTTTGTAATTGCAGAGATTTCGCTGAGGAGGAATTAAAACCTATCGCAGCAGAGACTGATAAAAAACATCTTTTTCCAAAGGAGCAGATCAAGAAGATGGGTGAGCTAGGTCTTATGGGTTTATGCATCCCTGAAGCATTAAACGGAACAGGACTAGATTACCTGGCCTATGTTATAGCTATGGAAGAAATCTCTAAAGGTTGCGCAAGTGCTGGAGTAATAATGAGTGTACAAAATTCCCTCTACTTAGGCCCTATAGACGCATTCGGGACTGATAAGCAGAAAGAAAAATACATCGTTCCCTATATGAGCGGTGAGAAAATTGGCTGTTTTGCTCTCAGTGAACCAGGTAATGGATCTGATGCTGGTGCAGCGTCTACCATTGCCAAAGCGGACGGCAGCGTTTATATGATTAACGGCACCAAGTCGTGGATAACAAGTGGGTTCGAAGCCAGTGCGATAATTCTCTTTGCGACGACTGACAAGCTCAAGAAGCACAAAGGTATAAGCGCTATCGTAGTGGATAGCCCGATAGCAGGCCTGAGCCTGGGTAAGAAAGAGGACAAATTAGGTATACGAGGTAGCAGCACTTGCTCCTTAATCTTCGAGGACTGTGAAGTGCCACAAGATAACATTTTAGGCAAACCAGGAATGGGCTTTAAAATCGCAATGATGGCTTTAGGTATGTGACAATCATTACGTGGATTTTTACAAGTAATTATTATTCAAATATAACGTAATATTCTCTCTGTAGATGCTGGCAGAATAGGAATCGCTGCACAAGCGTTGGGCATAGCTCAAGCATCCTTGGATTGCGCGATGGATTACGCATCCAAACGCCAAGCCTTCGGCCAGTCGATCATCAAGCTGCAAGCGATTCAACAAAAAATCGCTGATATGGCCCTAAAATTGGAAAGTTCAAGACTGTTGACGTGGCGAGCGGCTCAGCTTAAGGATAATGGTAAACCGTACACAAAGGTGCGTTATAAATATTTGGATAAATATTAATTCATTTTAGTAAAATATTTAAAATATTGGATATATAATATGGTCGAATTTTCTCTGGATATCTTCTTATTTTATCTCATATATAATATTTAAAATTTTAATCTTATCCCATATATATATTTTTCTATTGATTAGATTTTATTGGACAAGGTAAACGCGCTTCTATGATTGCGTAGAAAAAAATTTTTAAGTAGTCACGATAGCATAAACTTTAATCGATTTAATCATCAACAGATCAAAGCAATAAAATCATTTTAAACGAAAAAAAAAATAAGGTAATTTCCACAGGGAATGAACAGATCTTTCGAGTATAAGATCTCAAGTAGAAGATCTAATGAGTGCCAGTTTGCAGATGTAAAAATTTATATCGATGTCTAGTTTTTGCCAAACTCTTGTGTCCATCTGTTTTACATTCTCCTCAGTTATAAACCAAGAAAAGTCCGAAGTTAATATCACGATACAAGTAAATTTTTGCATATCTGCGATCTGGCTCTCTCGTTGATTCTTGATCTACTGTCAAAATAATTTCTTATTTGCTAGGAAGCCGCTATGGCCAAATTGTCAGCATCGGAAACCGCCACATTCTGCGCTCATCAGTGCTTACAGATTCTGGGAGGGATGGGATACGTGTCGGATATGCCGGCGGAACGTCATTACAGGGACGCGCGTATCACGGAGATCTATGAAGGCACATCGGAGATCCAGAGACTTGTGATCGCCGCAAATCTCATCAAAGAGTACGGCCTCAATTGAGATCGCACGACTCACTCACGTAAGATAATTCTTCAGTATCTTTCTTTTATATGTATATCCAAAGAGAGAGCAAAATATATTTTATACATATTGCATCTAATATTAGATTTTGTATATATATATATATATATATATATATAAATTATATTTTTATATGGAGAGAAAAGTCGAAATAAATTTCATATGCTATGCCTTCTAATTTTATTAACTCTTGGCTAAATACTTGACTGGATCGAGAGACATACGCACATACGCGCACACACATACACATACACTTACGCATATACGTATGTATGCAAGAAAATAAAACGCATATACACGTGCATATATACATATATACACATACACTGGTATTTCACTATTAGCCCTTTGGCAGCGATACGGAATTTTTTCCTTTCCTCTTTTTTTTTCTATCTATCCACGATTTTTTTTCTACCCTGCTTGTACATCTAGAGCAGCTAGAGCCAATCTATTTAAATAACTATTATCGTAGGATAACAAGTGTAATGTGAACCGCGTACATGTGTGAAACTCTCGTATTTAACAAAACGAACGACGTAGTCGTGGAACAAAGGCGGACTCCATTAAAGTTACGAGCTTGTTTGAACGACACAGATGTGCCTTATTTCGATCGGTTTTCCCTCGTCGATAAAATGGTGAATAAATACGTGCCCATGTTTCTCTGTGTTTTCTCGTATGTGTCAGATACATCGAGTACAAATACTATGTGCACTGTCGCGACTACCACTGTTCGTACATGAATACGAAGATAAAAGCTACCTTAGACTACATGCCTTCCAACGAGAAAATACAGAGAATACATTTACTTTGTGCAAATGACAGTTAAATTATATACTTCTCGTTATTGTTTTTTAATCTTTAATCGTATATTTAATTATAGATCCTATCACTAGGTGAGAATGCTGCTGCGAGTCCAACCCATTAAAAGACTACTTTACTCTCATTTCATTCTAGGAGTCAATTCAGTAAAAATAAATGTAACCATTCCCAAAATAAACTTTAAAATATCTCGTGTACATCGAGTTTTGCTTTTGTTATGAACGAGATAGTTACAAAACTATCTTTTTTTTGTTACGATATTTTTTCTCACATAATATACTGAAGAAAAATTTAAAATTTAAGGATGATTATAATAGTCTATAACAGGTTACGAGCAGCGTTCCAGAATACTTCATCGGTTGTACTAAGAGATCCATTGGAATGCAAAAGAAACATTTATATATATATAATTTGAATTTCATTGTGTATGCCTCTTTCTTTTTATATATATATACAATAACGCACTCTTTCGCCGTTCACCCGCTGTCACCAATATTGAAATAGCCTAAACTCTGCTTCTCTACATATGTGTGTATATGTATATCGGTGTGAGCACTTTACATAGAATACATCATCTCCCCGTCCTCGGTAAACAATTTAGAGTGTAATATGTTAATAACATTATTGTTAGTATCGCAGTATAATTAAAAAATCCATCAGTTTGGTCCTAACTCTTTAGGGAATAGGTACATATACACGTCTCGCGCTCGTCGATAACGAACGTAATGAAAGAATAGAGGAACATTATAGATTGAGATCTATCGTAGTACCTTGCCTCGTGGGATCGTAAAGGGATCCCATGAAATAACTATAGATATACATTTAAAATCCTTAGAACTTTTCAAATCGATCCTCCTGATCACATATACACTTTCGTAGAATTGAGAAAATACTCTCGAGCTTTCTTTCCAAAATACACAATCTAATACATCATACTTTCGGTTGAAATAATAGTTCGAGATACAGATCATTAATATGCAACATTTAGATTTTCAATTGTACATTAATATATTAAACTGTGGAATTTTTTAACTATTAAACTACGATCAAACTTGCGATGTTAAATCACATTATTTCCTTTGTTTTTTTTTTCTTTATGTACTTTGCAGCAAGCATTTTGTCGATCATTAATTGAACTCCAATATCTATTATTATCGAACTACGAACTGCTGTTAAGTAATCATAACGTTTTTATCTATGATGGTTTTCACGAAACCAGATTCTTTTCATAATTACGCATTAAACAAGAGAACCAGAAGATTCTGATTCCTTCCATTTCTTTTTCTTTTATAATAATAACTACATTATAATCTTTGACTGTAGATACATTTATCTAAAACGCTTGTAAATGTAAAATAAATTAAAATTGTAAGTAATTTATAATAGACACTGAATCTAGACACGTAAATTCCAGAAATCGTCCGAATCCTGTGGAATCGTCTATGACAGAGCGTAACAGGGTGTACATCTGTAGGTATGCGTCTGTATTTGTGTTGACATGTATAAGGAAATTGATTTAACCGTTCATAATAGAAGCTATCGAAGCCTCAATCATCAGCTCGCATACCCCGTACTTCACCTTGATGTCTTTGCTGCAATTGAACATATAAAAAACATTTCAAAAACGAATGAAATTTCTGACTTCTAAAACAAATATAGAAGACTTGCGTAAAACAAGATAATCGATTTAATTAATCTTCCAGCGGACGCGTCAGTATACAGAGAATATCGCAGAATAAGACTGAAAGTTCGAAAGGTTAAAGCATAATATCGTCAAATAAACATGCGAATGTTTATGATATTTAAACGATCATTTATTTTAAAAAATAAGTGTTACTTTTTATTAAAAAATAGATTAATAAAAAAAAGTCTTATTCATATTAATTTAATTGTAATTATTGAAAATAATAATTGTCGTCGAATGTTTTTTTCTAGTAAAATGAAAACATTTGTTGCATTTGAGGATGATGGTTGCATTTTTGCACAACTTGCATTTCCCTCGCTTTTCACTTCCATTAAGCGTATATCCTCTAGGAACAAATTTGCCCTTAATTTTCTGAAAACAAATGCCCTGATATCTTAAAAATCGATTCTACGTAAATAACATACGCTAACGGAACGCGACCTGAGCGAATCGATGGCCCGAAAGATACTGAAGGAATATCTTGGAAAGCCGAGACTCAAAAAAATAGATTTTACCTGTATTCCCTCCATAAGACTGGTGCGCATGTACGGAGAACACGCGCGCCCGCTGGAAGGTTTGAAAAACGGAAGAATTGAAAAAAAGTGAAATTCTTCTTACCCTGTCTAATTCTTCTTTCGTATTGTCTTCGATTGCTCTAATATCCTCCATGGTTAAACCATACCAACCATCTATCCAGCAGAACACTTGCCTATGGAAATTGGTAAACAGGCGCCGTTCCGCCTTTTGAATGAATCCTTCGATGCGGGTCTGCAGACCGAACCATTTGAATTCACAAGTGACTAGCTTGTAGCACGTCATCACAGGTTGAACATTATGCTTCCAATCCTTCCCAACGAGAGGGCCCCGTCCTGTCTTTTGGGACTTGAATTTAGATGGATCCTCGTCCACCTTGTAATCGGCACTTGCAATCGAATCGTTGGCAATATCTATATGCACTATCTCTCTGATCTTAAGCTTATCGGGCGGCAATTCGTGAACCTGTTCGTAAAAAGAAAACACGTAAATAACTAAAAATACTAGCCAAACTCGACAATACTTACATTATGCTGATTGCCGACGTCGCCAATATGAAAGGACTCTATCATAATCACGAAATTATCCTTCATATACCCTGGATTCTGTAGAAAAATCAAAGTAACGATTACGAATATATTTAAACTTAATATCTTGTATATGTGAATAAATATAGGCACAACACTTACAGTTATGACTGTCTTACAATAGGGATAAGCGTTCCAAGCCTCTTCATGGATTTCTAGCGAGTTCTTTGGCAGTAAAATGCGAATAAAAGCAGGCACTTTACTAGCTAAATGATAAATCTTATATGTATATTGGCCTGATGAGTACTTTCCACCAAGTAACGGATAATCCGTAAACGGCTCATTCTTTAATACTTCAATGCCTTCTCCACCGCCTGTATTATTTTTACTAGCCTCTGCTACAGAATACAGTTGAGCTACTTGATACTGTTAAAGAGAAAAAAAAATATATATACATATAAATTCTTGATAATATTGAAGGTAGGTTAAAGTCGTTATATAATTTATACCATGAGATATAATTTATATATGTACTTTGACTTGTTTTTGTGAGAACCGTTCATTCATTTATTAATTCTTTTGGTTTGAGTTTTTTTTCATTCATTAACACAAGAAAAAAAGAGAAAAGGATTTAAAGTCCATCATAGAATGTGAATTTATTTCTAGAATTGATACTTGAAATAAAATGATAATCATACAATCATTGTTATTAAGATATATCTCTCTTGGACATCACTTTATTATATACTCTGAGACAAATAGATAACGAATAGAAAAATAGAAACAATAATTTAAACAATAACAGATAATAATAAAGTAATAGATAATAATAAAGAAACTTGTGTGTTTGTGTGATAAAATAGGCTTCTAATTACAAATTCAGCATTGTTTATGCAAGATAACTCTACATAAGTACTCAGATAGGCACATGTGCCATGCGGAGGATAATTAGATGATTGGCGAATTTTCTTGATTGCACGGCAATGCTAAGATTAATTTCAACTGTCTGTTTTTGCAATCTAACGTCCAGGCAGGTCTCAAACTGAGTCATTACGAGGAGCGGGACTCCTGTGACAGATCAGACACGTACCTCTTCCACTGTGAGGGGCAGAGTGACACGGCTGTAACAAACAAATAATGAATTATGTCAGCGTTATATATCGAAAGACAAGGAGACGAAGAAAATCAACGGATAACGTAATCGTGTCCTTGAGTCACAGGATGGAGAGGGGACGCATTGCCGCAAGATGTATGTATCGCCCGGCCGATCTTAATTACATGAGAAATCAAAGCTGATCAATAAATTTGTGAGATTTATAACCGAACGATCCGCATCGTACGCGGTCGTTGCCGAGGAAGTCTAAGGTCAACCGAGATTCTCTGCAAAGCTGCACTTTTATCGCACTTCTCGCTGCTGATCAGAAATCATCGTATACTTGAAGCTTCGGCGATAGAGAGAGAGAGAGAGAGAGAGAGAGAGAGAGAGAGAGAGAGAGAGAGAGAG